ATTTCTGGTCAAATCCATTAGGGGAGAGGCAATTTCCGCGACCCCGGCTACAAACCTTCAGTAATAACCAGCCAGGCTGAGGCATTGTCTAACCTGTTTCTTTGTTACGGGGTAGGGGTAATCCCTGAGGGCCTTTCCCTTGAGTCTCAGGGTCCCTTCTCCCACAAAGTACAAGACTTCCTTTTGCCCAAATTTATATTTCCCGGGATTGGCGACTAGCTCAGCCCCTAGCAAGGCTCGCAGGACGGCCTCCAGGTGTTTGAGGTGATCCTCCCATGACTGACTATATATTATTATATCGTCTATGTATGTGGCCGTGTAGTCGTAATGACCTTTTAGGATCTTATCCATGAGCCTTTGGAATGTGACCGCCACCCCATGGAGCCCAAAGAGCATGGTAACAAACTGGAACAACCCCCATGGTGTGGAAAAGGCCGTGGTTTTTTTTAAGGCTGGTGTCAAGGAGATTTGCCAGTACCTCTTCGATAAGTCCAGGGTAGACATGAATTGGGCTCGCCCTAAGCGATCGAGGAGTTCGTCTATTTGGGGCATCAGGTAGGCATCGAAACGAGAGATTGCATTTACTCTCCGAAAGTCTATGCAAAATCTCACCGTCCCATCGCACTTGGGTACAAGCACAATCGGGCTGTGCCACTCACTATGGGACTCCTCAATCACCCCTAGTTGTAATATGGCCTGCACCTTCGCCCTTACCATGTCCCACATCTTTCTAGGGAGGGGCTGCGTGGGGTCCCGTATTTTCTTACCCGATGGCATCACGATGTGATGACTTGCTTGGGACGTTTGGCCTGGGCAGGTCGAGAATACTGAGGCATACCTCCATTGCAGTGCCTGCAGGCCCGAGCATTGGTCGGCGCTTAGCTCGGTTCCCACTAGGGCCATTGTTGCTTGTTCCAGGTTTCCTGCCCAGGGCCCCAGTTCTAGCTTCGGGGGGGCTTGTCACTATTAATAGTTGTTCCCAGGTGTTCCACCTTTTAATAGATTCACATGGTAAATATGTGTTGCTTTCCGTTTCCCTGTCAGTTGGACCTCATAATCTACCTCCCCTACCTGTCGTAGTACCTTGTACAGCCCTTGCCACTTGACAAGCAGTTTAGACTCTTTAAATGGAAGCAAGAGTAAGCCTTGTTGCCTGGCTTAGAAGGGCGAAGCTCGGTGTCCCGATTATAGTACCGAGCCTGTCTTTCTCGTGTCCTCATAAGATTCTCCTTGGCGTATTTGCCCACCGCCCAGAGCCTCTCTCTCAGAGTATATATTGTAGTGATCCAACCTGGCAAGGCCTCTGCTCTTCCTATGTCTCTTTCACCAGTTCTAATACTCCCCGGGGTTGATGCCCATACAACAGTTCAAATGGGGAGAATCCCGTAGATGACTGGCGTACCTCTCTTACGGCAAACAACAGCGTGGGAAGTAGCCTGTCCCACTCCCGGAGGTCATCCTCTACCAGGCGACGGAGCATTGATTTCAGGGTCCTATTGAATCACTCCACTAAGCCATCTGTCTGGAGGTGGTACACGGACATTTTCAGAGTTTTAATCTGTAATAGCTGGCACAGTTTGGCCATCAATCAAGATGTCACATTCATGCCCTGATTGGTTAAGATCTCTTTCAGAAGACCTACCCACAAAAATATTTTTATCATTTCTGTCGCAAGGCTCAGGGCAGTTTTGTTCTGAGGAGGCACAGCCTCCGGGTACCAGTCACATAGTCCATGACGACAATGAGTACATACTGGTTCCCCCCCTTTGACCGCTCCAAAGGCCCTATCAAGTCAAGGGCTATTCGCTCAAAGGGGGTGCCCACCACAGGGAGGGGGACCAAGGAGGCTTTAGGTACTGTCCCCGACCCAGTACGCTGGCAGGCAGGGCAGGATTTACAGAAGTTCTTAATATCCTGGTGCACCCCCGGCCAGTAGAACCTCTGTCGTAGCGTTTTCTCATGACCCAAATAGGCAGCCCAGGGGTTATTATAGGCGAGTTTGAATAGGGTCCGGTGGTACTGAGCGGGCACGAACAGCTGCCGTAACTCCCCTCCCTTGGGTTTCTCTAAAACACGATAAAGTCAGTCAGCACGTACCTCAAATCGTGATCCTCTCGTTTGAAAGGTCTGGTCTGGCTCTCCATCTGTCACATAGTCCCACGCTCGGTGGAGTGATGGGTCCGCTCTTTGTTCTTCCACGAAATTTTCTCCTTACCCCCAGTCCATGCTGGTAGTATCCGGGTCAGGACCACCCCCTTGGTTGAGGAGTGTGGGGGCCGTCCTCGCATCTGTATTCACCATTTCTGGGGTCTCTCCCTGGCTCTCTGTGGGCTGGTCCTGGTGGACAAGGGTATGGCTCCAGTCACGCCTGAGGATCATGGGGTAGGCCAACTGAGGGGCGACGGCCACTCAACACCAGGTCTCCTCGCCCCCTTCAGCTAGATGCCCCAGACCATAGGATAAAGTGCGAATCTCGCCGTGCACGCACTGCATGCGCACAGGGGGTCCTGCCTCTGGAAAGCCTTTTACTAGGTCGCTGTATCTACTAATGTGTCTATGGGTACGTCTTCCAGCACCACCCTGGCCATAATCTTTAATAGCCCGCTATCCTGTTCCTCGGGGGTCAGCGTGAACACCTGCCCGAAAGAACAGTCCATGAAGGGGCAGTCCCTCTTGAAGTGCCCTTCTTGCCCGCACTCGAAACAAACATTTTTGGTGTCCCCTTTCCCACCACCGTCAGGGGCTCTGTCAGGTCACCAGTGGGGGTGTTGGGTTCTCCCTTTTGAGGGTTCCCGGCCAGATGGGGGCTAGCTGCCACCCGTTACCTCTCATCATGGGGCTCAGTGTTGGCTTCCCGGGCCCCTTCCCCTGGCTCTGGGGCAGACAATGCCTCCCTCGCCGTAGATCTTCGATCTTCCACCCCTTCAGCAGCCATATATTCCTCCATGAGGGTTACAGCCTCAGTTAAGGTGGCTGGCTGGTGGTGGCAGACCCATCGTTGCCCCTCACCCGGCAGAATCTTCATGAATTGCTCCAGGATAATTACTCTGCGACCTGGGCCCCTGTCTTCTGGTCGGGCTCTAGCCCCTGCCAACCCGCCTCTCAAGACTTCTAGGCCACGGCCCTCGGGCGGGCCCCCGGCAGATACTTCTCCCTTTGGAACTGCTGTCTGTCTGTCTCTGGCGTAACTCCCAGCTGGTCCAAAATTGCTTCTTTAACTTTAAAGTAATGCAGCGCGTCCCACGCAGAGAGGCTGAGGTACGCTAACTGGGCAGGGCCTGTGAGGTAGGGAGCCAGCAGCGTTGCCCAGTGGTCCTCTGGCCACTTTGCCACCAGCGCCACTCATTCGAATGTCACCAGGTATGTCTCGGGATCATCATTCACCCCCATCTTGGTCAGCCGTATTGGCAGCTGTGCTCATCCCTCAGTGCCCATCTCGGGTCCTCTAGGTAGGGTGGTCGTTGGGCGGCTCTGACTCGTCTGTTGCTGCACCCAGCATTCCTGTTGGGCTTGCTGGTGCTCTATTAGTTCACGCATCAGCTGCCTTTGCTGCTCCTGGTTTTGGGCCATCAGTTGTTGCAGCAGCTGGGCTTGCTGCTGCTGCTGCTGTCTATGGCTCTCAGCCATCCATTCAGGAAGTCTCCATCCTGGTCCCCTTCTCCCGCCCAGCGGGGGTCCCTTAAACACAATAACTACAGTTGCCTGGCTCCTCGCTCGCCTCACTACCCTTCCCTCTCTCTCCTCCTTCCCTCTCCCTTCCCCGCGTGGGCCCGCTATGCCCACATTCTCCACCAAGTGTAAATGGCAGAGCCTCCAGCCAAGTTCGTGCTCGCTTTTCATTGATTGGTCAGCGCTACACCTGTGCTCTGAGCCCTCGTCCCGCGCTTAGACGAGAGTCCTACATTGGCCGCTTGCGATTCGAGGCAAGTAGGGGGGCTCTGGCCCTCCCTCTCTCCGAGCTCTGACCCAGGGCCCTAGGACTCGGGTCACAGACCCCGTCCGGTTGGTGGGGACGCTTCCCACAACACACCAACCCATGGGCTACTCGCTAGCTGCACCCTGGGTCGCTTCCTACTGCCTTGTGTTCTCGCTGGTTGGCTCCTTCCCGCTGCTTGATGTCCCTGGGAGGGGAGGGGTTCGTCCTCCGGCTCCGGCCTGCCTCCACTCCCAGCTTCTTGCCCTCCCTTACGGGTATGGTGTTGGTCTTTACATGCCCACTGCACCTGCGCCATAGCCGCCGGGGTCAACGTGTCCTCTCGGGCTGACTCTGCTCCCGACATCTGGCTGCGTGCCTTGCCATGACTTTGCTGCAGCCACTGAGCACGCCTTGTAATGGCACCGCTGCGCTGCCACCGGCGGCTGTCCTGCCCAGCACGCCGGGAATGGCGCCAGGTGAGTGTGGGGCCCGTGGGATGCTCTGTCACAGAAGCTTTCATTGCTTTGCTCCTGCTTGATAAAGTGCATCAAAATTTTTTCTTTTAAGATACATTTTAATTTTAAGCCATGGTCAGTCACTTTTTTTAAAATAGAAGGAAAACACGTAGTGTTTGGTTGTTTACACTGTAAGCAATCAGTTGTTTCTCTAATACTAAAATTAAAAATGGTGGGCTTTTTATAACCTGATAAAACTGGTGAATGGACATGTATGTTTAATGTCAAAGCTTATTAATTTAAAAAGTTAAAGCTCCTTAAATTGAAACATTATTACAAGTACTATCGCAAATGAAATCATCATTTTACATTCATAATTCAAAATTTTAATGTGTCTAAACTTAACTGCATTCAGTATGACAGACATTTGAAGTAGAAGGTGTGGAATGTTGATGCTGTGAATACGCAATTTGCGTCTGAATACATTTCTGTGTGTTTAGTTTCTTTTTGAAAGTTTATTGGTTTGAACTGAGATGCAGTAGGCCAGAACAGATGAGTATTTGGCACTTGTGGAAATATTTAGTAATAATTAAATATACTTTCACCACAAAAATATTTATTTTTTACAGGAATTACAGTCCCAAGCTGATGGTCTCCATTTGGAACTCAAGCGAAAGGAAGCAAGTTTAAAAATGATGAAAACAGACAGAGAAAGAATGAATAACCAGATCAATGCTGCAGATGGTAATTGTTTTTCAGGAATCAAATGTCGGCATCTGAATGTGTGTAGTCCTTTCTCTCCCTTCTCCCCTGCCCTCTGCTACTTTGAGTGGCACAAACTACAGAGTTTCAGAGAAAAGATGGGTGAGAATCTAGGAAAGCAGGGGGAGTACCGTGGCTCCAGTTTGTACAATGGCTGGGTCTTTGGTGTCAGGCAGAGCTGGGCCACTTGAGAGCAGGCGAGTTGGGGCGACTCTCTTGCTCTTTAGAAGTACTCTGTGTCCTTTCTGCCTCTTAATGAATAATTAGGGAGAAAAGATGGATGAGGTAATATCTTTTATTGGACCAACTTCTGTTGGTGAGAGAGATTAGCCTTTGAGCTACACAGACTCTTTCTTCACTCCTGGAAAAGGTATTCAGTGTCACAGCTAAATATAGGATTGAACAGATACTATGTAGCAAATATTCTAAGGAGGAAGCTGAAGTGGCCTGTTAACACAACGGGGGGAGGAATTAATAGGTTACAGATTTTTGTAATAAGCCATAAATCCAGTCTCTTTATTAAGACCATGATTTTCCCAGGCTCCGTTATTCAGTTCTTTGGGAGAAAGCTACTCTCTCCAACAATGGAAACTACAGGCTTTATGGCTTTCCTGACCAGAAGATACTGCTGACAACTTCTCCTTGGAGCTTACTGGGCCACTGCTATCCACTCCTCAGTCCAGGCCTGGCATCTCCACTCAGCCCAGGCAATGGATCTAAAGAAGAGCTCTATATGGCTTGAAAGCTTGTCTCTAAAACCAAACGAAGTGGCCCATTACCTCACCTGCCTTGTCTCTCATCTCCTAGAATCAACACAGCTACAGCAACATTCTCACTGAATAATCTAGCAAATGCTTCATAATGAGAAATGATCTTTAGATCACAGTCTTAAGGAATCATAGCAGACAGCACAGACAGAACAAAATGCAAATAACCTCTCTGACTTGGGCAGGCCTGTCTGTTTCTCTGTCAGGGGCCTGATATGCCTGCAGTGTCCTGCCAAGCAGTGGCTCAGTGGGTTCCCTGTCCAGACAGCCACCAGTGACAGTGGACCAGGACTGGGTGACAGTGTTGCACTTCAAAGCTCAATTCAGATATGGGCAGGAGAATCAGGGCAGTGAACTGGTAGAAATGGTAGTTGGTTCGCTCTGATCTTTAATACAAGCTACTCCTCCCTCCTGCCCCTGAGGAAGAAGCAGAAACTCAGTTCACAGGGCAACACGTACATTGACAAAACCTTTCAGACATACATCTTTGACCTTATCCTAGTTCATCTAGGGTTAGACATTTTTGTAAAGATATATGGGGTGTATATACCCCATTACAATCTCCATTTATATTTTAGAGGGTGTCTGTGACTCCATCTGTCTGCCTACAATTCCGTTTGTTCAAGAACTGCTCCTGAACAGTAAGAGTTGGGATCACCAAAGTCGGTATGCAGCTTCTTATTCTAACTTAATGCAATTTCAGGGTTTGGTTGTGCCAGGAAAACAGGAGTGGCATAGAATCTGATTGTTTCCCATAACATGGAAAGGGAGGGGGCTGATCAGAGGACAGTAATACTACCAAGTGACCACTGAGAGCAGTGAGCTCAGGGGACAGCTATACTGCAGAGTGACCACTGGGGGGCAGCCACACCACCAAGAAAGTGACCAAGAACCACCAGGGATGAGCAGCCCAGCCCCCACCCAGGAGATGCCAGGGCCAGGAACCAGACCAGCTGTGGGCGGGGGGGGGGAGAAGCAGCTGGAGGCCAAGACTGGCCCCCAGATCCCCTCTCTGCCATGGAGAAGCTGCAGGCAGAGAGGGCATCTGGAGTCCAGGGCCAGCCTCTGGATCTCCTCCCCCAGACAACCTGCAGGCTGGAGAGGCAGCTGGCTGGGCATTACAGTCTGGTGGGAGGGAAGGAAGGGACAAGCTGGAGGTCTGCATCCTTGGACCCCCAGGAGGAGTTGCCACCAGGCCTAGCTGGCCATGTTACACTTCAAAATGCCTTCACTAAATCCGGATATTGGCAGGAGGCTCAGGGAAGAGCCGCTGGCTGAGGACCATGGCCCTGCCCCCCAGAGCAGCACCACTGTCACCACCAGAGGTTGCCCCGGTAAACTCCCTCACTGTCTCCCCCTCCCTTACCCTGCACCCCAGCTAATTTTTTTTCTTCTTTTGTCTGTAAAGATCCCTGGGTTTCCCCTGCCTACAGCCAGACTGCTAACCCCGTCCCTCTCTCCCATACACTGGAAGGAGAGCCCTTGTCGGTTTTGGTACTCCAGGTGGGACCTCCTTGGTCTGGCGCCCTTGGGACCTCAGTGGTCCCAAGCCACATAGTTTGCTGGACCAGGGGAGCTCAGTGCTCCCCTCCCAGCTGTCAGCCCTGCCCACTGGTCTCTGCTTCTAGTCCTGTCTAGGCCTGTGCTCCCCACTGCCTTCACCGCTGCCAGGGCTGTGCTTCTTGACCTGGTCCAGGCTGTGCTCTTTGCCATGCCCGCCCTGCTGCATCTGGCTCTGGCCAGCGCGGTGCTCCCAGCCCTGATGTCTCCGGCCCCAGTTGGGGCTGCGTCCCTGGCCACTGCACTGTACTCCCCGCCACTCTGGCCCCACTGCACCTCCTGAACCTGGCCACTCAGGGCTCTCTTGTCTGGCAATGCCAGACCAGAGAGTGCCATATTGTAGGGATTCAACCTATGCTAGTCATCCCCATCATGAACATTGGGGACCTAAACCACAGAACAAGCATTTTTACCTAATAATTGGCATCAATGTAGATATCTATGTAGGAAGTCCCTCAGGCTAAAGCAAATGTTCTGGTTTGAAAGGGATGGTATCAGAATAATTACATAAGAGAGTATTTCTTGTATGATGTGGATGTGTATTTTTCCTATAAGATAGAATATACATCTACATCTATCTTGGTTAAATGTTTTATATTCCATTGGGGAAAATGCACGATACCTGGTATATACTAAATAATTAGAGGCACGATTGCTTAACTTACTCCATGGAATATTTATTTTCTTACTGAATCCTGTTAATTCTTGAACTATTTTGAGCTGTGTTTATCTGATTACACTAGGTTGACATTGAATTACACTTATTCTTAAGAATAAGTCAAGTTTTGAGCAATGCTGACAGTTACTGCATTCTACTTTGTATGTAATTATGATGGGCATACATACTCCAAATATATCAACTAAAAAGGCCATCCTTGGCAGACCCAGGAAGTGGTCAAATCCATTGAGCTGAGCAGGAAAACCTGAACCATAGAAACTTCTGGAGGTGCAGGCCAGGACAGAGATGCTGACAGTTGTGTCCCATTAAGATGCTAGAAGACTAGGCAGATGAACTGTCAACTTGCCAGGAAAGTTATAAAATCTCATGGTTTCCAGTGTAGAAAGTTGCTTTCTCCCAAATAGAAGATTAAATAGTGGAGCTTGGAAATAGGGTTGCCAGGTGTCCAGTATTGACCCGGACAGTCCGGTATTATCGCCTCTTGTCCAGTAAAAAAAATTCAGAAAATACTGGGCACCTAAAATGTCCGGTATTTTCTGTTTTTTCCCTGCCAGGATTAAAAAATACCGGACACCTGGCAACCCTATGACACATTCAGCAACTGGGCCCAACTCCTGACCCCTCCAGACCCCCTGCTTACCTGGTTCCGCAGGGAAGCTGCTTTCTGGCTTGACCAAGAAAACAAGATGGCCACTGGCAAAAAACCTAAAGATCCTAAGCAAGGGGAAGCAATGCCTTCCCTGAGTCTTAGTGCTCACCCCCTCCCTCTCCCTAATTTGACTCTGCACACACTTAAAGGGGACATGCTGTTTTAATGCTGTTTTATTTTTTATGTATATATTTATTTATTTTTTTGCCTAATAACTCTCAGTTGTTTTTTTTTTGGCTCAATAACTTTGGTCTCCCCACCTTTTTTTCCCCCCTCAACAGATTTTTTTCCCTGGTGTTTGTTTGGGTTTTTTTTGGGGGGGGGAGGCGGGGGTCAGTATTTTTGGTTAAACCATCTGGCAACCCTACCTGGAAAAGGAATTTTTTTCCTCAATTTTCAGCCCAGAGATTTGAAAGACTAGAGTTGATTAAGTACCTTGCTGATAGGGGAAATTCTCCAGACTATTCTCTGTCTTTTAGTTAAGTCTCTGAGCCACCTGCTACTTAGGGAATATTGTTATTGCCACTTGCAACAGATCCAAATACAAGGAGTAAGAATGAAGCAGGGTGGTTGTTTGTTTTTTGTTTATGTTTTCAACACTTAAAGGAATGATGATTTCAAATGTAAAGAGATAAGCAGAGACCCTTGTCCAGTAGTGTTCTTAATGGCAAGTGAAGAATTTTAGACATGAAAAGGTAGTATATAATTGGGCAGGTTTCTAGGTTTGCACATGAACATTTGTAAGAATTGCAAAAGCTGTACAGGTTATTGTCACTTTTCTGTTCGTGATCACTGGAATATAATTTTAATTTTCTATGCTATATGAAATATATACATTGGTTCTGTATCTCAAGTAGGGATGTGAAAGGTTAACCAGTAACCCATAGCCAGGGCCGGCCCACACATTTTGGCACTTGAAGTGGCGAGCTCAAATGACGCCCCCATGCCACCTTTTCTTCTGCCTGCCTGTTATGTCTCTTGTGCCTCCTTCCTCCAGCACAGCACTCCACCATCTCTGTGCATCTAGAGCAGAGAGAATACATATGCACCAGCAGCAGACACAATTTTCTACACTCTGGGTCCTAGTGGTGCCCCCCCATAGTCTGGCACCTGAGGTGGCCGCCTCAGTTCGCCTCATGGTAAGGCCAGCCCTACCCATAGGGTTAGAGCAGCTTCCCACCTGCCACAGGCAGGGAGCTGCTTCAGGCCCACAGGGGTCCTGCTGTGGACGGGGGCTGCTCTCATCTGGAGTAGCCCCTGTCCATACCGGCCCCGGGTGTCCTGCAGGCAGGGACTGCTACAGCGTCTGCAGCCCATGGGGAACCTG